AGTAGTAGTAGTAGTAGTAGTAGTAGTAGTAGTAGTAGTAGTAGTAGTAGTAGTAGTAGTAGTAGTAGTAGTAGTAGTAGTAGTAGTAGTAGTAGTAGTAGTAGAAGTAGTAGTAGTAGTAGTAGTAAGTAATAGTAAGTAGTAGTAGTAGTAGTAGTAGTAGTAGTAGTAGTAGTAGTAGTAGTAGTAGTAGTAGTAGTAGTAGTAGTAGTAGTGATAGTAGTCGGTATTCATAATAGCCGCAGTAGCAGCAGTACAAGCAGCAGTCGTAGTAGTAATACTACCATTCGTAAGAATCGCAGTAGTAGTAATGGTAGTGGTAACGGTAATGATAGTGGTCGTGGTAGAGGCAGAGGTGGGGAAGGCAGAGGTGGGAGGTGGAGGTGGGGAGGGGGGAGGCAGAGGTGGGAGGTGGAGGAGGAGGGGAAGGAGGAGAGGGTGTTCTTGGAGAACAGAAACCCCACTCAGGATGATGGACAACCAAACAGGTCAACGCTGGGCTGAAACAGATTTGCTTCACTTGCTTGAGTGACCTGACCAATCAGCCGTAAAACTGCCGCCTCAGGGCCACGATGAGACAAACCACTTCTCTTGCCTCACGGGCATCACCTGAAGGTACTCGGCCGGCCCGAACGCTGACAAGACCCATTAAACAAAACGAGTCCGAAACTCCTAGCTCGAGAACGTCCAACAGGGGGGCGTCCAAGAGGGGCGGGGTGCGCGGACCAGGGGGGGTCCAGGGAACGTATTGAGATAAGAAGAGGGGCCACGAAATCTGGGAAGATACCATGGCCCCCGCCATGATATCCCTCCCCCCCCTCTAGCGTCGGTGCGTTGACCTAAGGAACCCTAGATAGGGAGCGAGGCCCCTTTTCTCCAGAAGTTGAACTTCGACTTCCCATCGAAAAACCAAGAAGGTAAAACTGGGGCAAAATGTGAGGCAACGAAGGAACACGAAGCCCCTCCCCAACGAAAAGGGTTCCTTCTTCAGCGCCCCCTAGTCATCCCCCCCCTCTTGGCCGCCCCCGACTGGCGGCGGGGGGCCCCGCGCCGTTTCCCCCCCCCCCGGCCGGGCCACCGCAGGCGATCTCCTGGAACACGGTGCCCTCCGCCTGCCGGGCCGCCGGTTCGTCGAGGCGCGGTCCAGGAAAGGGGGGCAAGCCATAGGCTCAAGTCGGGCCTGTCCTCCTACAGGGGGAGTTTGGAGGAACAAAAAAAAGATAGCCAAAACATACACCAAAATGGACAAGAGATAATCCAAAAGTAGGCCCCGTACTATGTTTGGACGGTTGTCGAATATTCCCCCCGTTGGGGGACAGGCCCGACTTCGCAGTAGGCGGGGCAGCAACCCATGGTCCGAGGCACGCGCGCGGACGAGGGTGGGGCCAGGAGGATGTGCCAGAAGGAGAAATCGGGGATGGACAGAGCCCCCTTCAGACAACCGTGAGGAGGAGGAGGAGGAGGAGGGCGAGGACGAGGAGGAGGAGGAGGAGGAGGAGGAGGAGGAGGAGGAGGAGGAGGAGGAGGAGGAGGAGGAGGAGGAGGAGAGGAGGCGCAGGATGGACAGAGCCCCCTTCAGTACAACGTGGGTTAGTGAAAACGGCCTGGGGCCTAAACCTGGCGGGCGCAAGCCTGGAGAATGACGGCCGCGGCGCCCTCTCGAGAACCGAAACTGGACAGTTCACCAGTCGACGTGTCAGGGTGGGGTTTCCATCCACCCCCGAAGAACAAATATATCTATATATATATATATATATATATATATATATCCTGGCGAAGGACCCGACCATGCGCAGTTGTGAATGACGCGTTGTGGGTACCGATTTCGGTGGAGCTCCCTATGGGGCCGCGGCCCGTATGATGGGTGCGCAAAAAGGGGGCGGCACCGCCATGCGGACTCTGCAAGAGGGCCTTCGGTGGAGCTCCCAATGAGGCCACGAACTGTGTGAGGGATGCGCCAGAATGGGGCGGCGCCGCCATGTGGACCCTGCCACTAGGGACTTCGGTGGAGCTCCCTATGGGGCCACGGACCGTGTGAGGTGTGCGCCAGAGTGGGTCGGCGCCGCCATGCGGACCCTGCCACAGGGGCCTCCAGTGGAGCTCCCTACAGGGCCACGAACCGTGCGAGGGGTGCGCCAAAATGGGGCGGCGCCGCCATGCGGACCCTGCCACTGGGGCCTTCGGTGGAGCTCCCAAAGGGGCCCACGAACCGTGTGAGGGGTGCGCCGACATGGGGCGGCGCCGACATGCGGACCCTGCCAATCAAGCCTTTGGTGGAGCTCCCGATGGGGACACGAACCGTGCAAGGGGTGCGCCAACATGGGGCGGCGCCGCCATGTGAACCCTGCCACTGGGGCCTTCGGTGGAGCTCCCTACAGGGCCACGGACCGTGTGAGGGGTGCGCCAAAATGGGGCGGCGCCACCATGTGGACCCTGCCACTGGGGCCTTCGGTGGAGCCCCCTACGGGGCCACGAACCGTGTGATGGGGTGCACCAAAAC